ATATTGTCAGCCATGCCGGCGGTACAGCCCCCCCGTGAAGAATCGTCCGGCAAAGTGGCGCTGCTCATAGGAACAATTCAATTAGCATGATGTATTACGGTCCGTACGTACCGAGCGGATGCTTCTTTCCTATGCCAGATACTCGAAGGATCAGTCATGTCCGGAGCCAGGAGCGGAAGATCGCGCATCCGTGGAGTGTAATGGAGCGCGCGGACGAGGCATAGCAATAGGCTTCCTGGTTGTAAAGCTTGCCATGAACAAGCTTCCATCAAATTATCCATCCTTGTCACTCCCGTATCATAATCAATGCTCACTGGTTTTAAACATATCCGTATTGGTAGGGTACACAGGATGCCCCTGAAATTGTCAGACATGTGAGGTTGCAATAGATCAGTGATAAATTTGTGCTGAAGACTGTAATCGAAGAAAGTGCGGCTGCATTGTGGTTGCCTCATGTTCGGCCAGAATGGATGGCTCGGCTCGACGATGATTCGCACGTCTCAGCGCCATGATATTAGGGTTCTGTCTTCGGACCTAAGCGTGGAAGCCATATGACCATGCTCTTTGCCTTCACTCACTCTCTGCCTCGCCTCTCTCGAGTCTTCGTGTCTCCATTGGTCAGACTTTATGTCCTCAACGTACATTATAATCCGACAATGTGTATACTTCTAGCAATCTTCGTGCTCTCAAACTGCCCGATTGATAGATCCAATGGGACTGTCTCGGTGCTTTCTGGGTGACAGCCTTCACAAGGTCACAGCCAAACGCCAAGAGAATGCGATCGCGGAGCCCAAATATTCCTCGCCTTGGACACACAGATCCAGACATTTCACCATATAGGATACAAGTTGCCACTTCGTTCGCCTGTTGTCCTAGGCTTCGTCACGAATGGTGCCTGGATGGCATTTCATTCAATTTCTGTGCGCGCGACGGGATACTAATGAATTGCAATGACACGGAAGCCGTGTGAGGATACAACAACTCCGATACTAACGCAATTTACATATACTCCGTTTCCACTGCACCTACTCCTGCTGTTCTGAAGGCCGTGGCTTTTGCACTAGGTGGGCACAAGAACCTCAACCATGTTGTATTCGGAAATCGAAGATCACTCAAATGATCGCGCAATTGTCAAAATGTGATATTACCCTCGGTCTTTTCGCCGAGAGCAGACCTTCTGACACATAACATCCGTCAAACTTGCCTTCGTTCCCTCCAGTTGGTCAGATTAGGCCAACTAGCTAAGAAGCCCCTCAAGCAAGCCTCTCAGCCAGAGAACCGCTGGTCGCTATTCAAGTACGCTGTCTTCAAGAAGAGGAAGTCCGCATTTATGGCAGCGATGGGGAAAGCGGGACTGGAGCCTGGCGGGAGCTACTTGACTTAGCATTTGCTACTCGTTTGGACGGCTGTCATAATCGGTGGGAGTTTCATGTGATATATCGCCTCTTGGCAGTGGCAGTGACGTTGGGCGAGATGTACATGCTACCCTGAGCCCTATGCTCACGATTTCGGATTGCATCCCATTTCCAGTACGACATGTACTGTGCAGCACTTGAAGAGAAGTGATGCTGTATAATTTCGACGAACTGTTCAGTGGGAGTGACGCGTGATACCCTGAACTAGCTGGATGTATATGTCACCGACCAGGGTGACCGGCCCAGGCGGCCATTTCAGTTTAGTGCCAGCGTCAAGTGACGTGCCGCTACACCCTCCGGGGTGATACAGTGGTTCAGATACCGAGTTCAAAATTCCAGGTGATGCGTGACATCTAGACTCAAAGGCCTGTTCAGAGGTCCCGGTGACATGTGACTGAACGGTTGGTCGAAATGGTACAGTCTGCTAATGCTGATCGAGCTAGATCTCCAAGAATGGCGTAACCTGCTAATGCTCCCTACGTCCAGCGCTGCACTACTCATGGCTGCTGTGTCTTTCGCATTGATCCCGATTCACCGTCCGCTAAAGAGAGAGCTTGTGAGGATTTCCTAGCTCTGTCCTAGCTCCCGAAATGGTCCGACATCACCTTGACTGCGCCTCCGGAGGGCGGTGGCAGCCTGTCACGCGCATGTGTGGCGACTGGCTTTTAAAGCATCAGTACCCCCCTTCCCTCTCACACTGTTCATACCAAGAACTGGGAACCCAACTGCACCATCGTGCGCAGAGAAGCCACAATTCCACTCCATGTTCTTCGCCCTACTCGTGACGGCAATCCTTCAGGTGGAAGCGTTGGTAGTGCTTCGTGAAGCACATGTTGAAGGATCATCCGGGTCTGCGATCGCGAAGAAGACCGTGATCGCGATGGCTTTGGCTATAGGTGAGTACCACATCATCTAGGTTATCGGGGACTTCTACCTTCTGACCACTGAGATCGCAGTCGTTCTTACCTTCGTTGTGTTGGCTGTCTTCGCAGTCGCTCGCCACAGTCCAGCTGTTGATGAGGATGTGGAGGACTATAGGCATCCAACTGGTGCGATAAAACTCAAGACTGCATCCTTCGATAATCTGATTTTACTTACCTAGCTGGCCCCTGGATGGCCCGAGGGGATCTGGACCTGTTCCCGCTGGACAACCGTGTCAGAAGCCATTCCAGCGGCGCGGCGAACCAAGCCGAACCTCTTCCGCTGTACGCCCCGCCGCTTGCCCCCTTACCTCCTGCATATTCTCTTCAAGATACCCTCCACAGGACCCCACGCCCGGTTCTCAACCAGTGATAGCAAGAGTAGTTGGCCTCCACTGTCGCAGCCTTTTGCGCACAGCAAAGGCGAGAAACCGCCTGAAAGTGGCGCGGAAGGCGTCAAAGTGTTCGAAAGCAAAGTACGATGGCATTCTCCTGATGGAACTTTGAGTCGGCGAAATGCTGTGGCTCTGAGTCAGCTAGTGCATTAGTGCATAACTGTAGCATACAACGTAATCCCCTTGAAATTTATGAAATCAATGTAGCCTAACAAGTTCTGCACCGATTGTAACACTCACAAATTGGGTATTGGATGCGCTCCCAAACTCGTCGCGACGGCCCGATCATCCGATGCCTGTCGTCAGACGAGCGCTTGACGATTTCGGGCCGTGTAGCTGCCACTGGAGCTGGTGAAGCTCGCGACGCGTTTTGATCACGTGCAATACCACTCAGCAGCATCATGCTATCAGTTGCCCCTCTTGCGCCACGCATACTTACTCGAATAACACGTCGTCAGTCTCTCCCATTGTTACGAAGTGAAGAACACCGTTTACGGCGGGATTTAATGGACCTATCTCAGCTAGGGAATATTCATCCGAGTCGCATAATGCCGGGCATGATGTCGAAAACGGCGAGCCTTGTCTGCACTGCAGGGCACTGAACAACGTGCGTGGGCGCGATTTGTGACTTCCGGAACAATGTGGTAACAAGGCTTGCGAATAGCTGATCCCTCGGTACGTAATTGCGACCAATGATCCCCCTGGCAATTGTTTTTGTCTGCAGCGCATAGTCGAGGCTGAGTGAAGGCTCTGCACTTGGAGCGTCACTGTCATCCATGGACGCAGTTGCTCGTTCCTTAGCCTCGCATACACTTCAATGGTGGTAACCCGTGTTTCCAAGCTTCAGCTCCCGGCAGATGGCTACGCTCTTGTCTGCCGTCGTCACATTGTACGCTGTGGATATATGTATACGCGGCTCACTACAATCGAAGTCTGCAACTCAGCGACATGGACTGGACGGCCCAAGAGGCCCATTCTGATTTTTTCAATCCTGCGTACCCGACTGGATCGGACGTCGTCTTTCAGCCTGAGGATATTCTGTCTTTACCCCATCATCATACCTCGCCTTCCATCGACCTCCTGTATTGCGGCTGCAGAGCGGGCGATTGCTTTCACTCGTTGTATACGCATCCACTCACCGTTCCGCCGATTCAACGCGCGGGATCTCCGGAGGTTATAGGATGGACTGATCCGCGCGATATGAATCCTTCGCAGTCGAGTTGTTCGTTTACCACTTGGGATGTAGTACCTAAGGACGGTATGCCAACTCCCATGAATATTTTTGCTTGTAATGAACCACTATGCTGTAGTCTCTACACAATACGGCATGCAGGATGAACTCATGCAGCCACTCCCATCCTCAATCGTCGTCCACACGATCAATGATACCAGCGTGGCTCCGATTAGCCACCAAGTGTTTTACGGGAATCAATTTTTTTCCGCAGCCGATGCAGCTATGCTTGACACTAGCACGCTGCGCGCAATGATTGCGGAGTCAGAGCAGTCGTATCTCAGCCCTTTATCAGTTTATCAGCGCAGTCGTCCCTCAGGACATGTGCCGCAGTCACAGCAAGAAGTGTACTCGCCGAACTCACCGACCCGGGCAGACATGTTTCATCTCCCAGCATTGACATCTTCGTCTCATAATGACGCTCCCCCGCTCGCGAGAGACCGGACGTGCATACCCCAGCCGCCGGGCTCCTCTCAGTCGTCATACCAGGGTATCCTCCAATTCACTGCTGGAGCAGCTCACTGGGAGCCTGTGCAGCCGAAGGCGATATCTTCGACCACGGGTTCAACATCCGGTAACTAGTCATACGTTTTGTACCTGCACACGCACTCACCGCTGCTACGCTAGAGTTTCTCTTTTACGAGACTACTGGTGGATTCACTGCCCAGCCACCGTGATGGTTCAATTCTGGGAGGCCCCGTCATTCAGGCACCATTTGGTTGTCCACAGACGCTGGGATACAGTATGTAACGGAGCGAACACGAGTCTTGTGCAATGTACGATCTGCAAGAACTAAGTGTCCCAATCAAGTGCTCGTTGGAAGTGAGACGTAAAGTGTAGAGACATGGTGATACATGGCAGTAATGCTACAATGGAAACGACTGCCCCAATTTGTGAAGCATGCGTCGACGCAGCGGGTTCCTGCGACTTGCGCCCGTGAGTTCGAAGACACATGGTGCAGTGTCAATCACCTAGTTTGAACAAGCTTTGGGAAACCTCCCTGAGGCGCGAGGTCACAATTTCTCAAAAAAGGTAAACATTCCCACTAGCCGACTTGAACGACTGACCTCGTCATTACTGCTACTAGTGACGCGCTCTACCAACTGAGCTAAGCGGGACTTACCCATTTATACACCTTATTTTATATATGACGATGGTAGTGAGCGCGGCTCGCCATCGGATCTCGACGTGTCCTGGCCGGATGCAGGCTGTAACTGTGCTGTAATTGCTGGTCATCGTATTTCTTCCTTGCGGATATGCTACCTGTTTTGGGACTTGTGTCGGGAGCCCTCGCAATTTTCCTGTACAGTTACATCCATAATTTACGAACAGCCAACAAGACCCGTCGCGCAGCACTTCTCAAAGAGCTCGGAATCTCGCATGCGGGCACGACGATAGTTGGGTTCTTCCATCCATACTGGTCAGTCGTGAGTGCTCCAGCAGCATTCACTGCAGGCCAGCTCATGGAACGTTGAAGCAATGCAGGAGGCGGCGGAGAACGCGTGCTATGGACAGCAGTTAGCATCCTGCAGCGCACTGAGCCGGATCTCGTGAGTGTCGTCTACAGTGGGGATGTAGACGCTACGACAGATGAGATCATTGCGAAAGTGAAGGTGTGTGTTATGCATCTAACCCTTGAGTCGCTGTATGACGTGAAGCTTGGTAGGCGCGATTTGACATCGAGCTCTCCCCACATACCCTCCACTTCGTCTTCCTGGACTCCCGCCACCTTGTCGAAGACTCGACATGGAAACGATTCACGCTCCTCGGACAGAGCCTTGGCTCTATGTATCTCGCCTGGGAAGCTATGTCTAAGCTCATTCCTGACCTCTACATCGGTGTGTTCCCCGCCTCCTCCGGACGACTTCTGCTGACGGCCCAACGCAGATACCATGGGATACGCGTTTACATTCCACGTCGTGTCATGGCTGGGCGGCATCCCCATTGGCGCGTACGTGCACTACCCGACCATCAGCACGAACATGCTCGAGCGGGTCAAGACACGCAAGAAGTGGCACACTAACTCGGACGTAATCTCATCATCCAACGTTCTAAGCAAGGGGAAACTCTTGTATGCGTGCTCAACGCTAATATGTAGCAAGGTACACTGACATACTTCCCATTCCCCAGATACTACCGCCTCTTCATGTACTACTACGCGCACTCCCTTCGTCAAGCACGGTTCATTATGGTCAACTCCTCCTGGACCAGGAACCACATCGACGCTATCCTGCAACACGCCGACCCGCTCCTCGACGCCCTCCACTTCCTCCCACCCCTCATCTTCATCAAGGCCTTGCTCCAGCGCTCCAACCCCTCGCCGAAATCCGCGCGGGTCGTGTACCCGTCCTGCGACACCCGGGAGATGGCGAAGCTCCCTTTGGAGGGGCGCGAGCGCGTTATCCTCAGCGTCGCGCAGTTCCGGTATGCACTAGTTCTGTGTTCTGCGGACTTCGCTGACACGCATATAGACCGGAGAAGGACCATCCGGCGCAGCTGCATGCGTTCCACAAGCTGCTAGAGTCACATCCGGAGTACCGCACACCAGAGAAGCGCGTCCGGCTCGTGCTTCTTGGAGGGAGCCGCAACGCCGACGACGCGACGCGGGTCGAGGGGCTGAAGGCGCTCGCGAAGGAGCTAGACATCGAGGTACGCCGTCCTGCACGAGTTTCCTCTTGGTGTGGATGACGAGTCCGAGCAGGACCACGTGCAATTTGTGGTCAATGCGTCGTACCCCGAGATGCTCGAGTGGCTCTCCAAAGCGAGTATCGGCCTCAGCACAATGGTGGATGAACACTTCGGCATCAACGTGGTGGAGTTCATGGTGCGTCCTGCGACTGGTTCTTCTGCATATATCTGAGCCTTATTGTTATAGGCCGCTGGTGCCATTCCGGTGGCGCACGCGTCCGGTGGACCGCTGCTTGACATCGTGGTACCATTCGAGGGAGAACCGACGGGTTCGTCCGCGGTCCCGCCATCGCTGGCTCATTCCTTGTCTGACACTTGCTGCTCACAGGTTACCATGCAACGTCTCCAGAGACGTTCGCTGAGGCGTTGCGCACGGTCCTCACGCTCTCCCTTCAGGCAGAGCTCGCGATGCGTTCGCGTGCTCGCAAATGGGCCGTGCAGCGGTTCTCTGAGGACGAGTTCGAAAAGGGATGGACCGCAAGCGGGTGGCGGTCATGGTTGCCCAGGAACCTGTAAGCACCCCGTTGTATATACCATATGGCACCTTCTCCCGCTGTCTCCGCTACGTACCGATCAGCATTCGATAAGGTATGGAGCATCTCGCTACGGCGTTCAAACCGTTCCCCGGCTCACCATCTGCACACGCTACCCCAGATAAGCGAAGGACTCGAGATCCAGATTGAGTTACACTACGCTTGGGACAATCGATTGTAGGACAATATTATGAAGATCTATCTAATCCTGACTATGGCGAGCATGGCAGCTCAGTCTACACGCGCAAGCTCACTCCATCCGCGCCAAAACCTCCTGTCCCTTGCCCTGGATTTCACTCACAGACCTGTAACCCGACAGACCCAACGTGATCTCAAAGTCAGCAAGCAGACTCTGCACAACGTTTTCAACGCCCGCTTGGCCCGCGACAGCCAACCCATACATGTACGGCCGCGCATCTGTACAAGCATCCCCACGTCAGTTCGATATTGGGATTCTCGGCAAGGTGTCGGGTAACTTACACAACACAGCCTGCGCGCCGAGGGCGAGCGCCTTGAAGATGTCGCTGCCGGTGCGGATGCCAGAGTCGAAGAGTACGGTCAGCTGGCCGCTTGCCTGCGCCTCCCTGACTTTCGGGCTCTTGCAGATCTGCTCCAGGGCGTACAGCGACGCGATCGCACCATCCACCTGCCGACCGCCTGCATCACTGTGAACATCGGCCTTCTCTCAAAATAGTCTTAGCGACATACCATGATTCGACACGACAATGCCATTGATTCCGTAGTCGACCGCAAGCTCGGCGTCCTACCAGGCGCCGGTCAGCGGATGATCACCGGGCAGGGCAAGCGCCTACCTGGACATTCTGGATGCCCTTCAGCACGATCTCGCCGTCCCAGTTGTCCTGGATGAACTTGAGGTCCTCCCACGTCCGGAACGTCCCAGACGTCACTTGGCCGATCCACTGCTCGCCGAGCTGCGAGCGGAGCTTCGCCGTCTTGTCGCCCGCCGTGATGAGCCTGTCGATCTTCTCTGGGTCGTACGGGAACTCCGGCACGTCGTCATGTGCGAGCGGTGCGAGGTTGTGCAGGCCCATGAAGACCGGGTCCGTGAAGCCGATTTGCGCGCCGACGCCGTGGAAGAACGGCAGATACGCCGTGTCGATGTCGTGCGGCCGCCACCCGAGCGACATCGTGTCGAGCGTGATCACGAGTGTGCTGAACCCGCTCGCCTTGGCGCGCGACAGGATCGAGAGCGTCACCTCCGGCGTGCGCGGCCTGCGCGGAAATGAGGTCTTCAGGGACGCGAAGCACGAAATTGGGTGTGTGCTTACCAGTAGAGCTGATACCAGCGAGGACCGGACCCGGATGCCTTTCCTACTGCCTCGATGCTGCGCGTCGACGCCGTGCTCATGATGAAGGGAACCCCGAGCTTTGCCGCGGCCGCCGCGGAAGCAAGCTCAGCATCGCCATGGACGATTCCCTGAACTCCAATGGGGGCCAGGAGCACCGGAGAGGCATACTTCACGCCGAAGATGGTAGTCTGCGGGTGCGATATTCTTAGTGGGTGCACGGGCCTGCGCGCGACCGGCTCACCTCGATGCTTCGGTCTGTGACATCCCGCAGCATGCGGGGAATGATCCCCCACTTCTCGAACTGCCTCCGGTTGGCCGCGTTGGTTGAGCATGTGCCCGCGCTGCCGAAGACATAGTAGAACGCATCTGCGGCCAGGCGTCAGCATGGGTCGCGTCGCTAGGAGCAAATTCAAAATCAACCTCGCCGATCTTGCAGCTTTTCGCGCGCTGCCTGCTCCAGCTTGTCGACTTCGACGGTGCCGACAACTGGGCGTTGCCGGCCCTGGAACGCGTCGCGCATGACCTTGGACCATTTCGAAGAGGGGGAGACGAGGCCGTTGGACATGATGGTGTCTTGGGATGAAGTCTGAAGGCGTGAGACGGGACGGAAGGGCGGATTGGCAGGACGCTTACTTCCAAGCCTCGCTTTAAAGTACTTCGGCTCCTGCTGCTACCAGACTCGCGGCGCTGAGTATGTTTACCTGCAGGGTTCGGGCTCACACCATTGGCATGACGAAATTCTCCTTATGCTGCCCAGACATGGGATCCCTCCGATACCGATGCGGTATACGGTTCGCTGTGGGCCTGTGACGTCCAGCCGGTACATCGGCAGCTGCAGGACGCTTTGGGCGGCAGTATCAGATATGCGTCCAATGGAGTTTAGGGTGGAGAAATTTGCGGCGTGGCTTGCTTAGCTGGGACTAGTTTCTGCATGTCAATGTCTCGTTCAATGGCCGGCGTGCTGCCGGCCTCATTCCCGAGGTCACAAAGCGGCCTGTTGGCTCGATTGGGCAGTTGAAGAACTTATTCGATTCTCAGTGGAAGCCACGATGTAGGCTGTAATTTGTAGTGCCTTGACTGTCGAGGACATTTGACCCTGACATCAATTTCTTCCGCGCCCCATCTTGCTCTGGCTTCCGGCACATTCACTGCGGAGCACGAGCTGATCGCAGACGAGAAGACTTGTCCGGACAACAGCCCGAGATAATCCATAGCGTGCGACTGGCGCATGTCTGGTGCAGATTGTGACTATTACGGACATTGCGATAAGGGTATCCGGTCTTCAAGAGCAGGTCAGCGGACTGATGATGTGATTGCGAACCTTGCGGCTCGCTTCGAGACTCCCGGACGGGGAGGCCTAGAATGAAACCCGTTAAAGGTGACTGGCCAACTACCGGGAGAAGAATCGGCAAAAATTCAGGCTGACAAGCGGAGAGGCAGTACGGAGGACGAATAGAACATGAGAGCTTGCGAACACACTCGCGGAGACGGCTCTATGCGCCCGCCCGGAAGCGCTGCGAACTACGCCACGGCACCGGTCATCATCGGTATCGTTATATGCATTCTGCCTCCGCCTGAGCAATCAAC